TAATTTTGACGCCAGCTCATATGATCTTCAAGTTAATATTGATGGTTTTGTTTTTCGCAGTCAGGCTGCGGCACTTACAATGTCTTATAAGTTAAGAGTCACATTAGCGTGATGATGTGGGGTTTCACCGTGCTTCATTTTGAAGTTGCGACTTGTAGGGTGGAAGGTTAAGGGCCTCGGGATTGTAGTGGATGTTTTTTTCTGATCATGGGGTGCATGGTCCAATGCTTTTCAGCTTTGATTCGGCTTGGGCAGGGGGCCTAAGTATTCAGTTTGAGAATTGGCCCTGATTTGCATCTGGGGTTTTTCGACGTCGTATTGTGGATTGATTTTTCCAGAAGTATGTACACAAAGGTAGGAGTAAGGAAATGCATGCAGTTGGTATCGAAAAAAGATGCGGTTCATTGTAGGATGGTTTCTTTGAATTCGCGATGAGGTCTTTTCCAGCGCTCTTTGGGAGACGAGTTTGGCAATGCCATCCGCGGCGACATCTCGAAGCTCACGGCCTCCTACGGTGTGATCATCGTCTACTGCGCCATCATGATCGGCAAGTGCGACGCAATCCATTCCGGGGTCTTCCTGTCCTTTGTGGCGGTGATCATTGTAGGATTGACCATCGGAAGCACATTGGGGCTCATGGGCTACTTCGGTGTGCCCAACGGCAACTTGAACAATAACCTCTACTTCCTGCTCCTGGGCTTGGGTGTGGACGATGCCTTCGTGCTGAGCTCTGAGTTCATGCGCCATTCCCGGGAGGACGGCCAAGGCAAGAGCATCGCGGAGCGCATCGCTCTCACTGCCAAAACCGGTGGCATCTCGGTCCTGATCACCTCTGCCACGGATGCTTTGGCCTTCCTGGTTGGTGCCACAACGGTGCTGCCGGCCCTGGGATGGTTCTGCACCTACGCGGGCGTGTCCATTGTTCTATGCTACACCTTCCAGCTCACAGTGTTCCTTCCTTGTTTGGCCCTGAATGCCCGGCGTGTGGAGGCCAACCGCGTTGATTGCTGCTGCTGTTTTCACAGCAAGGAGCGCTCCATCGAGGACCCTCAGGGATGCTGCTGCGGCTGCTGCCTCCCCAAGGCGGTTTTCAAGGGTGGCCATCTCTCCAAAGGCCTTGCAGGCTTCATGCGCAAGGTTACCACGCCTGTGGGGCAGGCAGTGACCTTCATCCTCTTCGCCGCCCTTACAGGCGTCGGCATTTGGGGTTCCACAATGATCTACAAGGACTTCAAGCTCGAGTGGTTCATCCCAGACTCGTCCTATGTGAACGAGTTCCTGGGCAAGTGCCGCAGAAGAGTTCTGTTTGATACCCTGGAATCCCGCAAAATCAGCTTCGACTCACGCAAGGTGCAACACAAAATGCGTTGCCTTGAAGATGTTTTCTCATCATTGCTGAGGTTCTTCAATATCAACTCCGAGTACTTCGCCACGGGCACTCCCATCACAGTGACAGGATGCAATGAAGGGGTTCAAACCATGTTCTGATTCCTAAGTTTTCGTCCAGACATACAGAAAATCTGACGATTTCCTGCATGCGCCCTTCCTTGTTTGGCACCCTACAGAAATCATAAGCTGGATATGTATCGGGTCATGGAACCTTATGTCTTGCTTCTGGTATGTGCAGCTGACCTTCCTCCTTTTTGTTACCCCTACTGGAATGGGAGGCTGGGCGTCAATGGCTGCCCGTGGTAATTTCTCTAAGTTGTCGGGTCCGCTTGTAGCACCCCCATCTGGGGATGCGCGACAGGAGGGCGAAAATGACACAAGTAGGGGAATTTTCCTTGTAGGCGAAGGTAAGCTCTTGATGGATCTTGGGTCCTTTGCAGATAGCATTCACTCGTAGCCGCCATGGAGGGCTCAAGTTATCATCGGTTCACAGCCTGCAGTTCTCCTCGAGTACGGGAGCCCAAACGAGATTTGGGTTACTTGGGTTTTTCGTGCACAGGGTCCCGCCAGGATTCCTTCCAATATGCCTACCTAGATCTAGACACACGGAGATCCACCCCACACGCCCTAAATTCGAAATCCTGGAGCCCGCAACCGTGGAAATCCAATCGCTTTAGAGTCCAAACTCCCAACCTTACAACCCCCACACCTGGAGAAACCTATCCAAAAGCTTTAGAGTCCAAACCTGACAACCCCAATACATACCCTGTTATAATATAGTAGTTTCCATTTTCTATTCCATTATCCCTATATTACTAGGTCTAACCACCAAAAAGATCGCTTCTCAGGTGAACATGCGCGAGACGCCGGCAACCTTCGAGGCACAGAGCAACCTCCGCGAGATGCACCTTGTCAGGGCAAGATTTCACTTTTAGGAACCCCCTAAACCCTAAAACCTGTATAGCCCCTGTATTCCCCTTTAAAGGTACCCCTATATTTTTTGGGGGGGGGAGCCCTAAACCCATATATATATATTGTCCTTAAGAATTATTGTTAGTTTTGATTGTAGTATAACCCTAAGGAAATATCAAAGATGTTATAGGTCTAAGGAAACTACAGAATAGGAGAGTTGTAGGAACCCCAACCCTGATTGGAATTGGTGTTAGGGTTATCAAAACCGTCAGATAGGTATGTCTAATTTAGGGCTGTTATAGCCCAGCTACAGCTGCAGTTTGCACCCAACTATGACCCCATTGAGGGATTTGGGGGGACTTACAACTGGACTGGAAATACAACTATTAGTAGGTTATAATTACCCTGAACTTGCAAGTAGGTTTTAAGAATTATTGCTTATCATGGTTTGGGGTGGGATTTGTGGGAGCTTTGGGTTCTAGTGTTCAATATTTGCATAATGCAGGAGTGGGTTTAGGGCGTTAAGTTTTGAGGTTTACAAGGTTGGCAGGGGCTTGAAGGTTTGGCGGGCTTGGGTATGGGTTTGGGGATCATCAGGGCTTTTAGGGGTTTAAGACATTGGGGGTACATATGTCTTGGGTACAGGAAGTGTAGGGATTCGGGATTGTAGGCGTTTGCACGCTTCCGGGTTTGCAAAGTTGCAAGTTGGCACGGTGTGGGATTTTCCATTTTCTGTGGACAAGGCTCATGGGTTCACGGATAAAGGGTACGGGGGTTTGGGAGGAGCTTAGGGGCCGGCTCAGGGGTTTCAAGCGCTTGCAGGTTCAGGGTTTATGGATATGGCAGGGGATTAGACGGTTTGGGATGAGGGTTTCGGGATCTGGGCCTGGTGGTGTTGGTTTAACCCTTCACTACAGAGTCCCTCAAGCCGTGATCTTCATCAGAATTAGCCGCCTCATCATTCTTGCAAACTCCAGTGGAGGGTAATGGGATATGCTATCCATTGGCTAGGAGATTCAGGGCTCCGGCAAGGTTGGTGAGTTTTCGTTTTGTTGGTAGGAAAAACAAGATACAACTGCGCAACATAGCTATGTTTCCTTTTAATCCCTAATTGTTGTAAATGACACTAGCGTTCCGTACTATGCCTTGTCCGTTTCAGGCTGTTGCAGGGCTTTGGCTAAACTGGGGTTTGAACCGGGCTAAGATTTTTCTGGCAATGGTGGGCCGATAGACTCTAAATGCATCTGAGATTAGTGAGGGGCTTCTGAATTGTTCAATATGGAGATACGAAGTGGATATTGAAAATCTGTATGATCGTAATTACCGTATACCATTGGGAAAACAGGATTTCACAGTGTATTGAGGTCATGAAGGATTCACGGTATTAACATCGTTTATCAAGCATTCTACTCATACAGGAGGTTTGGAAGCCTACAAATGAAGAGATCTCAACTTACGGGCAGGAGGATGCTGAGCGCCATATGAGCTGTAGTCTAAACTCCTTAAAGGGGGTTATATAGGGGATTTTGTAGGGGACTACTATAGGGGGTTGGTAAGGGGGATACTAGGAGTTTAGACTATGGCTCATATGACCGAGCATGAAATCTCCCAACCGCCCTAAATTAGGGAAACATCGCGAGGTACGATTACTTGACAACAACGGACCTCGTGAACCAGGATGTGGCGGTGGACAGCTGGTACGAGGACCATTTGAATTTCAGAGTGCAACAGGCGTTGTAAAGTATTGTGCTTATGGTTGTTTAAACAGGGGCGGGAGATGGAATGATGCACAACCCAACTCCCTTCCAAGTACCCGTAATTAGGTAGTTTATGACTTGCTCCTTCCCGACGTGCCCAAAACAGAACTCTTGCAAACAGGGAGAAGTTTGATGTGCAACAATAGCACGGGATTTTCTTCAAACCCTCCATCGGGTCGCAAACAAAGGTACCTTTCCTACTTACCCTCAAGGTCCAAATATCCATTGTTTAGAGTCTTCTTTTGGCCCAAATGACCTCACTTCTAGACGTTGGGGCCTACTTGTATAGTACTTGGCCACTTGGTCTCTGAGTCAACTTCTTCTTCTCTCCACTTGAGGAAACAGCTGAAGAAAACAAAATCACAAATACAGGGGTTATATTGGGGTTATCATGGGATAATTGAAAATAAAATGG